CAGGATCGAAACCACCTCCTTCCTCCAAAGCTACTCACACGATCGAACTATCTCCGACTGGTCAAGCCTTAGGCTCGGGTGTGAAGAACAAAGGCAAAAACATAGCTGAGGAAGAAGATGAAGAAGGAGACAAGGAGACCATTGCTGACATTTTAAAAAGAAAGAACAATCGCAAGGTTGACGAAGATGCCAGTCATGTGGCGCGAGAAGCTGAAGAAGCCGAACGCAAACAAAAAGAAGCCCACGATCTCCTTGAGAGCCGAAAGACTCTCTTCCCTGCCTGGACCAGGGAACGTTTGATTAAAGAGGCCATTGAAACTCCTAGCATTTTATGGCTCGAGCCGGTTATCTCGTTCGACTGCAACAACACTGTCGATTCGCAGTTCGATATGCCACTGACTCGAAAGGTGTTCATCTTCCACGTCTTCTCAAACATATTTGAAGTCCCTCACCCGAATGCTGAGCTTGACAGGGAGCTCATTGACTTCTATCTGGTGGCTGCTCGTCCACAATACCTTACTTGGAGCGCCCAGAAGATTGTAAACGTTCGGGTGCTGAAACCTTATACCGAAGGTCGTTTTATAAATGTTCGGTTCAAGTTGATTCGGGGATCTGCAAGAACTGCTCATATTATCTCCCTGGCAGATCTACCGAATCTAAATCCTCATGATTGGATTGTCCTGTATAATATCCTTTTGACTAATGAAGCCGAATATGGTCCCATTCTAGACCATGTCAAAAGGATGTTAGCCTGCTACATCATGGAGGTTGCCCTAATGGATCAGGAGGTCGCCACAGTCTTCAAGAAGAAACCAAAGATTGCTCCTGTGGGATCGGCCAGTGATCTCAACCAAATGCTATTGGGCAGGATCGACCCGAGATGCAACTCGGTTATGTTCACTAGAGCGGAAGGACATAAATGTCTCTTCGCTTTAGCTGACAAGCATCTTTACACCACAACTTGTTTGGAGCATGTGTTATTCATTATCAAAAGGTGTAAAGAGAACTCGGCTGATGACATCAAGTACTTCGAAGATATGATTAATTGGTATATCCGGTTTAGACAGACCATTCTCTCCATCACCAAATGTCTGTTTAGCACCATGAAAAAGAAGGTACCTGCTTCAGCTGCTGGCCCAAGTAACTCGTGAAGGTCTCGCTCCAAATTGACGCAAAGGGGGAGATTGTTGGGCTGAAGTTTATTTTGAAGATTGCGTCTTTTTGGGCTCGATAGCATAAGTCATTTTGTATTCCGGTTTGGGCCTGTCCAGCCGTGAATCTTTTATGTTTTGTATATAAGTTTACGCTTGCATGCATATTAGGTCAAGGTTTTTAGAGATCTGCGAAATAGCGATTCATCCAGAAGATAACAGGTTTCTTTAATCGTTCTTGTAACCTTCCAATCCTCTACAGTTGATGTTCTTAATAGAGCTCTTCTGAGGATTTTGTTTAATCATTCGACACGTTTGATTCAATCTTGACTTGTTCTTGTTATTGCATTCATTCAGTTTTATATTTACATACTTGTTCAAGATCTAATCGATCTTTATAGATTAAAGGTTAGTTTAATCTCATCACAAGATATCATAAAATTATAGAAAACAAAGTTTTCAATTCGTAAAGTTGCAAGGTTGAAAAGTTGTTTTGCTATAATTAAGGGAGAGGAACTTATACTTCATTTCAATTCTAAAAGTTTAGATTGAGTTTTTAATCAAATTTAGTCAAGTATTTATATGGATACCATGTTGAAATGTTTCAACATTTGGAAATTCTATATATGGAAATGTTATAGCAAGAGACTAGTAAAGTATCAGGTCTTTATGTAAGACATTATGAATCGTGTCCCACATGCTTCGGGTATAGGATCGACTACATATGCTATAATATTATCATGTTATTATTTTTCAAATGCCTAGGGCATTAAGAGGGAAAAGGAACAGAACCGGATATGACTAAAGTGGTTAAACAATTGTTAAGGACAATCCAAGGTTCGCCAAAGATTGGTTGCTTATGGATAATTAAAAGTATAGTAGTGGATGGACCATATTGACATTCTTATAAATAGATAGGATTTTATTAACAATGATTTGTCATATGGAAAATATGGAAATGTTTCCATAATGAGAGTTGGATAAGAATCTATGAGAAAGTTAGAAACTTTTATGCGAGAAGGATGTTCAAAGGAATGTGCTTTGAATCTGAGACTTTGGATCTATGGAATTGTCTTGTAACAATCTCCATTGGAATACTTTGTAATGTCTGTTGTCAAGTCTCTGTGAATTTTGTGCATAGTCATTATAAGAGGATCATTGCATATAAGTTAAGAATCTAAAATATTCCAGTAAATGGCAAGAACTTGGTATTCTTACACTTACGATAAGGATTTGGAATTGTGAAATAAGTATCGTTGGAAATGTTTACAATTGATATATTTAACAAAGTAAGTAAACATAGTGTGCATGCTTGGAGCATGGGATAACTATTGTTTTAATTCAAGTAGTAGTTGATAAATCGAAACAATATACAATGAATTATGTGTAATCAATATGTTGATTAAATAAAAGGTGTTTTATTTAAACTCAAAAGTTTTGGGGCCATATAGGATTACTATTGTTCTTGTGTTTCACTTTGAATGTTTTTACTTCCCGAATAATAAGATTATTCAAACCATCCACAGTCGATCAAACTTTGGATGTAGGTAATGAGGCTAGACTTTCATGAGTTGGCTTGTAGATTGTCTAAGGCGTTAGACATAGCAAACATTTGCTACACCATTCATGAGTGCTCCTGAAATAGGATTTGAGTATTTGATTCAACCCACACTCACCTGAATTACTTCATGGAATTTATCACGAGTAATTGTGAGACGATAATATCATATAATCTTCAAACTAAGGTATATGAGTTGTTGACTACGAGTTGGTTGTGTAGTGATGATAAGAAAACGCATTAGTAACTTGATGTTATAAAACGTATCATTGTGCATGACTTAATGAGTAGTTAGTACAATCATATAATGTCAATGTTTATCTATTCCTTTTATCCTAAGAGGATTAAGAGCGATATCTTGGGCCCTCGATGATTCTGTTTTGACTATGTGTGTAATGACCCAAAATTCAAGACCAAAAATTTTGTTTTATTTAAGTTATCATTACATAAAACCATGAGTATAAAAGTCATAATAATATATCATGTCAAACCAGTTTGAATAATCAAGCATGTCATCATAAAATAATATCAGAGTGTAATCCCAAAGATCTCATATGCAGAAAACATAGTGTGATGCGCTGCGATCGAGCCGACTCCTTTCTTTTGAAAATAAAGTATCTGAAACCATAAACAAAACCTGTAAGCATGAAGCTTAGTGAGTTTCCTAGAGCATACCATACACACAATCCACATATCACATATCCTGTTAGCTATAAAAGCTACCCGTATTACATATCCTGCTAGCTATAGAAGCTACATATAACATATAAGTCATGCATACAAAAACCTGTAAGAATGTCATGGGCTATCCCACATGGTCGTCACCTAGGACTGCCATAGGCTGCCCCACATGGTCTTACATTCAATGCCATTGGCCACCCCACATGGTCTTTACCTAGGACTGCCATGGGCGACCCCACATGATCTTACATCCAATGTCATGGGCTACCCTACATGGTCTTTATCTAGGACTACCATGGGCTACCCCACATGGTCTTACACCCAATGCCACGGGCTCCCCTCGGGGTCTTCATGCAAACATAAGATCATACATCATATAAAAGCACATAATGGCTAACACATATACCATAAACACATAATGGGTCGGCCTTGGTGCCTTAGACCCATGGGTATGGTGAGAAGACTCACCTGGCACAGCTGAAGTCCCGCAGACTTAATCCCACACTTCTGAAGTCCCGCAGCCTCAACCCCAACTGCTGGATGACAGATTCCCGAACTATCAACATCAAACAATACCTAATTAATAATTGGGCTCCACTACATAACCATAAGTACTTACTTTGGATAATTACTACATTACACCCAAGCTTGGCTTATTTAAGCCTAAGGCCCAATCCATAGGCCTAAAGTCAACTGGGAATCAAAGCCCAACATATGGCCCAATTTTCCAAATTGGACCTAAGACTTTACATGGTATTGTTCTAAGGCCCAACATCATATAATCATCAAGGCCCAAACTATGGCCCGTCGGAAAATTGGGCCTACACCCTCATATGGGCCTTACCCTAAGCCCATCAACATATTCTAGTCAATATGATTATTCTTGGATGGCCTATTAATAATACAATTACCAAAGCCCAAAGGAAAAGCCCAACACAAAGCCCAAGTGAAATTAGGGTTTCACATAAATGACAATTAGGGTTAAGTGTTTCTCACTTAACCCATTAAAGACTTAATCCATTAAGTCCAATATTGCTTAGATTCATTTTTTTCAATGATTATTATTTAATATCTCAAGTTATTAAATAATTCCCGTGTGTCTCGGTTAATTCCCCAAATTAGGGTTTTATTGGCATTAGGGTTTCCCAACCCAAATACTAGTCCTTTTATCAAGTTGTTGGGCTTTTAGGTCAATTAGGGCTTTATTCGGCCTATTAGGCCCACTTGAAAATCATTTAGCCCATTAGGGTTTTATTGGGTCAATTAGGGTCCATTAGGGCTTACAAGGCCCATTAGGGTTTCAAACACCGTAAACGAATCGAACTCAACGAGGCAAGCGCACCGTCACCCGACACGGTGGCTGGTGGCATCAGGAGGCGGCAGCCACCACCTCACTGTGGTGGTTAGGGTTCCTTTTTCATTATTCTAATTTATGATTACATTTTACAAACTCTAATCCCAAAATAAAAACACTAAACAAACTAATCACACAAACACAACCACCTTATGGTGGCCGGTGGTGGTAAATGGTGGCAGCCACTATAAAAACACTAATCACGGTGGTGGCGGTGATTCCTTTTTGAAAAATCCGGCCAAGAAACACCCAAACATCACTTTAATATAATACACACACATACACACTCGTCTTCTACTATCAAAACAAACCCAACCACCCACCAAGGGTAAGCGACAACGGTAGTGGCGCAACAGCCAATAATAACAATGCTTGGATTGGCATCAGCAGTGATAGGAGCGGCTTCGTTATCTCGGAACGGCACGTTATCAACAAGACATGTAGAAGAGAGGTAGCAGTCCAACCCCGAACCACCACAGCTCCTTAAATTCGTCGGCCTTCCGGTTTCCCCACGACGGATGCACAACAGGTGGCGGCATTTGACAACCCTAGCGACATTGGCGGCATTGGCTGAAGGTGAAGCAGGAGAAGAAAGAGGAGGAGCATCTGAAAACGCCATCACGTCACCTGGAATTCGCTCTCGGTAGTTTCTTCGTTCGTGCATGGAGTCCAACAACAAGGTGTGACGGCATCTCGATGTTGAGGCAGCAAGTGGCGTTGTTGGAGCTTCATCTGGTCGGAACACAAGAGAGAAACCGGTGGAAGGAGATGACGGGTTTATAGTCCCTTATCCAATCAAACCTTTCTCCATAACAACACCTTTGGTCCCTCCCTTTCCTTATTCTTTCACAATGAGTCCAAAATTTACCTTTTTAACCCTAATCCCATAAATCCATTACAAATTAAGTCTAATACTTACCAAATAGTCCCTTGGCCTCCAAAATCACTTCAAAATAAATTCCAAAATTACTTTTTAACCCCCGGATGATCCGATTTATAACATTTGGCAGCCTAAAACCCTCTCCCCATTAAATAATAAGGATTAAGACGACTATTCGTTCATCAAATTTTATCTATTATTTATTAATTAAACAGGATGTTATAATGTGTTAGGTCCGTTCAGAACTAAATGAATGTGTTCAGTTATGTTCTATGTCAGACGAGTTGGAAATCGAGAAAAAAATTGCAGTCTATTAAGTATGACTATGTTCCATGTGTTTGTGTGCATAGATATCTTGAAAAATAGAGGAATATATGATCCCTTATTTGAAGGACGTGTCACTGACTAGGTCAGAGTTCGATAGCAGCTTTTGAAAGCTTACGTTGCTAAGTCGGATCCTGAAGTCACATTGGTAACTATAGTTATTAGACTTATCTAAGTGGGAGACTATTGGATTTGGTGTCTAAACCCATAACTATAAATGGGATGTACTTGACCCGATTGTAGCATGGTCCTTTTGGGTTGCCTTCACCAGTGCAATTTGATAGGATAGACTTTTGAGAATAAGGTTATTTATGATTTATTAATATATTACAAGTATAGTGTATTAATATGTAATCATATTATTTAATTAGTATTGATCAAGAAATAATTTGGAATTAATTTTGTGATCAAAAGAAACTAATTAAATATATGGGGATTGATTGTGTAAATCAATAATCCTTATAGTGTGGGCTAATGATCCGTAGTTATTTAGGATGGGCTAAACCAATGAGATAATCCATGGATAGTCCATGGAGGTTTTAACCCATGGAGCCTAAGTAATATGATGGGTCATTAGGGTTTGCAAAGATGTAACCCTAGCACTATAAATAGAACCCCTCATGAACCAAAATTGGTTGCACCATTCATTCTAAGAGAGTAATATTGATTTTGAGCTAAGTAACTTATTCGCTTAAGCCTCCTCCTGCATATTGGTGTTTGTTAACCATTAGAGGCATCACACTTGGGGTGCTTAAGCCAAGGTCAAGAACTACAAGTCCTTCTAAGAGGTAAGCCATCAAACTAGTTGTATTGCTCAAATGTCAATTTGCATGCAAGTTAGGTTGTATGCTTTGGAAAATTGTAAATGCATCTATAATTAGAGAAAACGTAGATCCAAATCATTTAGGGTTGCATGTGTACCATAGGAGTGTTATAGTGCTTAAAACCCAACACTTTTTACCTCAAAATGTTTCCAAAGGTGGATGAGATCCCGGATCTAGTGCTTCCCCTCAAGCTCAATGGCCTTCTAGCTCTTCCAAGTCCTTCACCAAGAACAATAACACACAAAAATCCACTTAAAACCTCTAGTTTCTCAACAAGGAGCTCATAATACGATTTAGGGTTCAGGGGGGCTGACGAGGGATGATTAAGTCCTTTAAATAGGGTGCAAAACCCTGGAAATTAGGGTTTCATCCCAGCCGATCTTCTCGTTGAGTTGAGGCCTCTCAACTCGTCGAGTAGGTCACTTATTTACACGTCCCTTATAATCTCTACTCGACGAGTTTGGGGATTCCAACTCGTCAAGTTGTTCTTAAAAATTGAATAAATAATAAATTAAATACATAGCAGAAACCACGTGTTACATGATTTGTGTGATACCTTATATCCTTGGAGAATTGGATGTTATTTGGAACTGATGTCGACTCAGTTAATTGCTAAATGTATGCTTTAAAAGTTGTATACAATTAGGATCATATAGCCCTAAAATGATTGATTTAGCCTCATCTCCAATTCCTTGTTTGGTTTATGGTCTTAGGGAAGAATCATTATTTGATAGTCTATGTGGTCCCATTATGTATACAACTTGAATGCATAAGGAAACCAGCAGTGTTGGTTTGAGATTCTTTGTGTTGTAGAGATGGTTGAATTGAGAATTTATAGGAAAGTCTAGGAGATGCCATTAGAGTAGGGGTGTTGAACGGGTAATTTTTTCGGGTTTCGGGTAATTCGAGTCGGGTAATTCGGGTTTTTCATGTTAGAAAAATTACCCGTTACCCTACCCAAACTAAATTCGGGTAATTCGGGTATTGCCCGAAATATATGATTTTTTTTTTTGAATTTCACCTAAAAATAAATTTAATGAAATAAATACGTCGTGCTTTATTAGTGTTGTTTATATAAACAAACGAGACATAAACGAAGTTACTCAAGCTTTGAACATTGAGATTTTCTACTCAATAATACATGAGATATCAAGTATTTTTTTAACGACTTAATCTAATCTAATAAGATGTTAAAAAACCAAATACCTAAAGATCTTAATTTAAAAGTTTAAAATGTTTAAGATAAATGTAGTCATAAGTTTTGCCATGTTCTAAAGTTTCGTCAAGATAATGAGTTTGTTAGTTGTAATAAAAACTATAATATAGAAAACAGTTAAGTTTTAAAGAACGTGATGATATATAAAAATTACTTTTAATATTGTTAGTGTCGTATTGTCATAATAAATATATTTATGTTTTATAATAATGATATTAGTTTAAGCATGATCAAATACCTGCTATATAGTACAAGCTATATAAAAAAATGAAATTTTAAAATAATTTGGGTAATTCGGGTATACCCGAAACCCAAAAAATGTACCCTTTACCCGACCCGAAAAAAAACCGGGTAACCCAATTACCCGGAAAAATGTACCCGATACCCGATTTACCCGACCCGATTTACCTGATACCCGAAAAAATCGGGCGGATAATTCGGGTATCGGGTATTTTTGACAGGGCTACATCAGAGGATTTACATGCGATATATGATTTGTGTATGGATTAAGTGTGATGACTTAGAGGATATAGGATGGTTCTTAGGGAAAGTATAAATAGGTGTGGAAGGTAGTGTTGGGCCTGTATTACTGAAAGCACAGGATCTGTACTCGAAGCAAGGATGGTCTTGAAGATTCTAAGGGATCGTAGAGTGAAAGTTCCCTTAAGTTTGTGTTGATTGTTTAAATGTTTTTATTTCGGTTGAGTATGGTGACCACTCGAGCAGGATCTTTTAGATTTGGTTCTGGTATTGGTGACGAACCAATGGATGAGAGAGTGTGCAAGATCATCACATTATAGATTACTCGTGGTATCTTGGAGGGCACCCGTGTGATTTTCGGTACCATCAAGGAGGGGATTGCGAAGCTTATGGAAGAGTGACTTAGGGCGCTTCGGGAAGAGATCATCACGGGTCAGATAGTAGTGCGTACTCCCTTATTTCAGGACTTCAAGGCCTGTGGAGCTCTAGAGTTCTTTGGGGATAAGGACTCCATTGTCATCCACCAATGGACTACTTACATGGAGAATGCACAACGAATGAGCTTTTGTCATGAGGGGGAAAGTATGGGATTTTTCTCGTACCTTATGAGAGACCGAGCCTGAGACTGGTGGAAGGAGGTCGTTCGTGTAGTGGGGAATGAGGCAGTAATGGCCATGCCTTTGGGAAGTTTGTTACGAGATTTCACGAGGAGTTTGCACTAGCACATGAGGTGTAGCAGTTGGTGAGGGTGTTTCCGGACCTTCATCTGACTATATAAACTGTGGAGGAGATCACTGCCAAGTTCAGAGAGAGGACCCTGTTAGTTCTATAGTATGTTGCAGATGAGGAAATGAAGAAGACGAGAAATCATGACATGCTGAAGGACAAGATCAGGGATTTTGTGAGCTCTACGGGGTGCAAGACTGTGAATGATATGATTGAGAGGACCCGGGAGAAGGAAATTGAGATAGAGCTTCGAACAAAGTGCAATCCAGAGTACGTACAGACAACAGTGGGTCAAGAAAAGAATCCTAGGACCTCTGATTCACATACTAGGGGCCAGCAGAGTCGGAGCCGCTGCGGCAAGCCACACGGTGGTACATGTTGATCAGTGGGTTCAGGTTGTTACAGATGTTGTCAGACCGGTCATATGAGTAGGGATTGCCCCCGGAGTGCGTTGATTTTTTTTCACTGCAACCAGACATGCCATAAAAAAACCAATTTTGTCTAAGGTTGTTTGTAACATCCTAAATTATGAGGTAAAAATTCCAATTTTAATTCAACCAAAACATTAATTATCTTTAAGTCAACATTCAACACTCCTTTGCTAAATATTCAAAAGTACTTTGTAAGAAAATAGTTATCAGAGTACAATCCCAAAACCATCATAATGCGAAAACATAGGTGGATGCACTGCGATCAAGCCAGACCCTTCCTCTTTGAAAACAGAAGAACCTAAAACATAAACTGAAAATCGTAAGCAGAAAGCTTAGTGAGTTTTCTAAAATGCCACATACCATACATATAAACATATACTGGCCCTGCCGGACATCAAACCCCGTCTGGCATTGAGCCCCGCTCGATATACATATTTGTTAGTCATCACGCCCCTCCTGGTAGTGGGTCCCGCCCGGTATAAACATATAAACATATAAATATTGAGATAAATAGAATACAGACTAGACGTCAGGCCTCGCCCGACATTGAATCGTACCCGGTAATCATAAAAACACATACAGATAACTAGCATACAATTACTCATCGGGCCATGCTTGGCATCGGGCCCTGCTCGATAGACATAAAACACATAATACATGCAAGTGTTACCCAGATAACAAGCAGACTAGACACACCATACCATGGGTTGGAATTGGTGCCTTCGACCGCTAAATACAGTGAGGAAACTTACCTCAGTTTGTTGATAACCAAATAACTGCTCG